TTGAAAATGTATGTTTTTTTTTAATAATCGCACCTCTATAACTAAATTAATCTCTATTATCACCTCTATTAATGGAACCCTCTGTAAATGAGACATATATTTATTTATACCTGGATATCTGAGACGCTGGGTAAGTGGAATACCTCTTGAAGTTAGACAAATTTGCTGGTCCCTTAAGGTCCCAGTTATCCAGGTTTAACTGTATTGCAATATGCATGCAGGGAGGGAGGAAATCCTAACATATGGTACATCGCCGCACGGCGTTTCACTGCATTTCAATGCGATAAGACGCCGCAGAGCTACATAACTACATACATAGCTACATACTCGTACTAATTTAGCGCGTTAATGCCAGACTGCCAGATCTACAACGTATTACATCTAGTGCAAATTCTTCCGCCTAGGCGGTGGTCACACAGGTTATTATATGTTCGGTTTATATTACGTTCGGATGCTAGTGCCACATGCAGATAGCTTCGCTTTTTACCTGATCTTTGTATCTGATTGATATTTTAAGCTATAAAAATATGTAATATCAGACATGGAGACATATATCAATTGAGACCTAATGAAGAATGTTCTAAAAAATATGACATAAAAAGAAGATAAAAGAATGTACCTATGTATAACCCAAAATTGTCTTCTATTATTTCAACCCTGATCCATAACCCTCACTCGATACGCGGCTACCACTACTATGCTATACGGTTGTCATATCATTGACCTTAATTTACTTTGTTGATAGTTATTTTGCTGTCGAAATGATATATTCAACGATTAAGTAACTTTTCTGTCATTATGTATGCTGGAATTGATTACAAAACAGATAGTATTCAAATGGCCGGCAATTCATTCATTTAAAATGACGGCCAATTCAACTGATTTATTTATAACTAGCGATCCGTACCGACTTCGCTTATTTAGGATCTATTACTGTGGCGACAATTACATTTAAAACATTCAAAGATATTCTAAAAAAATATTTAATCAATTATTAGTTTTTTTTTTTCAAAAAAACTAATAACACTCAACTCATGATCACTACTGGTATTCCTCTCTATCGGTTCGTGAAGTTTCATTACAATCGGTTCAGACATGAAGATATTAGCTCGGACAGACAGACAAACATGAATTTTAAAAATCGTTATTCATGTTTTAATGTCATGTAGATGACGTCATCCCAATATAAAGCAGTTATTTCGGTATTAAAGACAGACCCGTTGATTTTATTTTTATGTATATATAGATATAGATTTATTTATAACACTGGTGATATAAATAAAATGTCAGAGATGATAATCTGTATATTATGCTTGAATATCCTATCTATGTTTAAATGTCATTAGTACAAATTCTGGCTTAGCTTTCCATTGACGTCAGTGGAGTTTGGTGTTGATACGTATTTTACAGAAAGATTACACTTTTATAAGCACACACACAATGTCTCAATATACGGAAACGCGTAATTTTTTAGAAAAGAATAATTGAAAATCAATTATTCTCGCAATGTTTACGTCTAATCTGCTAATAAACTGGCGCCATTTTGTAATGTCATTGTCGACGTCAATAGGGATGTCGATTCTTTCCGAAAAAGGTCGATTTTTAAATCGATTCAAATCGTAAGCGGTTCACAAAAAATCGATTTCTAAAATGTCTATATTTTTTTAATGTTTCTATTTATAATGTAAATATAAACCCATTTTATGAAAAACAAGAAAGATACCATGATAAATGATCTCTTATTGAAATTTGTTTTATTTAACAGTACTTATTAGGGCAGATAACAAATAAAATAGGTTAGGTTCAACTTATGTCAAAGAACCGAATTGATTGACCCCGACCTCACCTGGTACGAGTCTGTCCTACCCCTAGAGTGGTTTTATAGAGCCGGAGGCGCGTAGGGGGAGCAGCGTCCGCCTGCTGTAACAAATCGTAGGCATCGGACGAGCCGGAGCGGCTGAGGCTGGTCGCCAAAGGCGACCAACAAGCCGAAGCTGCGGAGGCGAGGAGGGATGCCTGCGATTTGTTACGCTAAGGCGTAGAGGTTGCTCTTCCCGCAGCGCCGGAGACGTAGCAGTCTCAAAATAGATACAGAAATCCTTATGAATCAGTCCCCTTATTTTTTTCTCATAAAATGGATTTATATTTACATTATAAATGCAAACATGAAAAAAATATCGATATTATAGAAATCGATTTTTTAGGAATCGATACATCAGCTTACGATTTTAATCGATTTAAAAATCGACCTCTTTCGGAAAGAATCGACCTTTTTCGGAAAGAATCGACATCCCTATTGACGTCGACAATGACATTACAAAATGGCGCCAGTTTATTAGCAGATTAGACATAAACATTGCAAGAATAATTGATTTTCATTATTCTTTTCTCAAAAATTACGTGTTTCCGTATATTGAGACTTTGTGTGTGTGCTTATAATAGTGTAATCTTTCTGTAAAAATACGTATCAACACCAAACTCCACTGACGTCAATGGAAAGTCGTACCCAAATTCTTTTGTCGAGAAAAACATAGTTAATATTGGTACCATGGACACCTCAGTTTTTATTAATATCATAATAATAGGTTTATATTAAAATATATATTTAAACCATTATCTGTTTATATTTAAAAAAATATGCTTATATACGTCCCACTACAAGGTTTTAGGGCAAGGAAACGGCCATTGTGCTACCCCAATGCTACACGCATTGAGGTAGCACGATGGACATACAGAGGCCGTAAACGCATTCCTTCTATAGTTTCGACTTTCGAAAACATGTACCTGTATCTTCGAAGCTATAGATTTATAAAAGCTTTTATATAATGGATTTCCGCATAGTAACGCCTGATTCTATTAATTATGCTATAGATTTAGTACAAACTGACGTTAGATCAGGGGTTCCCAAAGTAGTCGACTACGATCCCTTGCGGTCGAAATCGGTACATAAACGAAAACTGATTTTGGGGGTCGACGAGGTCTAAAAATCGACCCCTATGAATTAACAAGTTTTTATTTTTTTATGTTTACTTTGAGATTTTAATGTCTTCTTCAAAAAAATAACTACCTATTTTAATATTTTTACGTAATTTGTACTAATAATTATTAATTACACTTGATATTTACTGAATTTTATGTACATAATACATACATAAACACTCACGCCTGTCACCCAGAGGGGTAGGCAGAGACTACGGACTTCCATTTGGCGCGATCCTGACACACCTCTCTCGCCTCTTTTACATCCATATATCTACGCATACACGCTCGTCGGTTAAGGGTACTCCTAATCTGGCCCATTTTTAATGTATCGCCGATTTGGTCGATAAACCTTCGTCTAGGGCGTCCCTTCCCGACCCTGCCGTTCACTTCTGCAACATAAATTTGCTTTGTCACTCTTTCCTCGTTCATTCTTTCTACGTGACCAAACCACCGAAGCATTCCTTTCTTAATCCTTGTCACAACGTCATCTTGCAAACCACACTTTTGTCTTATTACACTATTTCTCACCCTGTCATTCAGATTCAGCCCTAGCATACTCCTTAAGGAACGCATTTCTACAGCATTTATTCTACTCTCATGCTTCTTCTGCCAGACCCAACTTTCACTACCATACATTAAAGTGGGTACTAACACAGCATTATGAATTGCCATACGTGCCTTAGTTGACACATTCTGACTCCTCACAATAGCGTGTAGAGCCCCATTCACTCTATTTCCTGCGTTCACTCGTCGTTCTATATCCTTATCATATCTACCATCCCTGCTAAATAAACATCCCAAATATACAAACTCATCCACTTGCTCAATCAACTCCCCTTCTATTCTTATTTCACATAAAGTTTTACTTTCTTCTCTTTCAAAAACCATCACTTTCGTCTTACTTGCGTTCAGTTTCATACCCCTTTCTTTCAATGACCAATTCATTAAAGTAACCATCATTTGCAACTCGGCCGCCAACGATGCAAATATGACTTGATCATCGGCGTACAAAAGGCATTTGACGGTTGACTCACCCATTCTCAACCCACATTCTTCAACTTTCAAAGTTTGCAAACAACTGTCCATAAATAGGTTAAACAGCCACGGGGAAGCCACACATCCCTGTCTGACACCTTTATGAATGCCAAACCAGTCCGAGTAGACCCCGTTGATCCTGACACAAGCACTAGAGTCCCTATAAAGAGACCTTAATGCCTGTATCAAGCCAGCGCTCAACCCAAATGAGTTCAGTGTTTGCCATAACACGTTCCTGTCCACTCTGTCATAAGCCTTTTCCAAGTCCAAGAACGCACAAAAAACTTTCTGGTTTTTAGCCAAAAACTTCTCCGCTATCATGCGCATGGAAAAGACTTGATCCGTACACCCCATCCCCTTTCTAAATCCAGCTTGCACATCCCAAATTTTTCCATCAGTTTCTTCCATAACTCTTTCAATTAACACCTTAGCATACAGTTTACCCACAATGCTAAGCAAGCTGATACCACGGTAGTTTTTACAGTCCTGCTGCGACCCCTTTCCCTTATATATTGGGACTATAACGGCTTTGCACCAGTCTTCCGGTACCCGTTTCAGTTCCCAACATAAATTAAACAAGGTGTGCAGCAGGCCTGCAACCACACCCTCACCAGCCCTTAGCATTTCGAGTGATACTCTATCATATCCGGCTGCCTTACCTGCTTTCATGCTTTTCATTGCTTTCATTATTTCATCTACACTTATCTCCCTACCTCTCTCCACTTCTTCCGGAATTTCTATTTCACTTATTTCAGACGACTCTTCACTCTTAAACACGCTTTCAAAGTATTCCTTCCATCTCTTCAAATTCGAAACTTCATCATTCAGCATGCAGCCATTTTCGTCTCGTATAGCATTCATTCTAGGCTGTTTTGAATTTCCCCTGGCAGTTCTTACGAGCTTCCAGAACATTTTAATATTTTCCTGGAAGTTATCAGATATCCTTCTATCATTCTTATCTATCCTTTCTTGCTTTTTCCTTTCAACAACTTCTTTTACTCTCTTATTTATACGTCTAAAGTTTGCCTTTTTTCTTTCAATCTCATCATTCATACCGCCAGAGTTACCAGCTTTAGTTGCTAGTAAATCTAGCCATGCTCTCTTCTTTGCTTCAACTTCCATCCGTACCTCATCATCCCACCACAACGTATTACTTTTCCTTTCATTCGTTCTCTTACTTACACCGCATACTTCGGTGGCTGCATCCACCAAAACTTTCTTAATATTATTCCATACATTCTTCAATTCTAAATCATTCATACATAATTCATTCAACCCACTTATATTTTGCCTCAGTCTGCATTTATACTTCTCTTTCACACCTTCATCTTGTAACCTCTCTATTCTTATACGCTGTAACGCAGTGGTAGACACCGATGTCCGATGCCGCCAACGTCTGAATAGACCATTAATTCGGCATAAGACCAAGTAATGATCCGTCCCTACGTTGGACCCCCGGTAAACCCTTGTATCTACCACTGCGCTCCTCATTCTTTCATCCACAATTATAAAATCTATCATGCTTCTATCATCCCCTCTTTCCCATGTATACATGTGAATCCTCTTATGGCGAAAGAAAGTGTTCGCCACAAAAAGATTCTTTTCCACACATACGGTGAGGAGGTCTTCACCATTCTCATTTATTCTTTCATCGCCAAACGTTCCTAATATCCTTTCATAACCAGACCTCTTCACCCCCACCCTTCCATTAAAATCTCCTAACATAATAATATTTTCATTTTCCTTACATTTCATCAACACCAGCCTTACCATGTCCCAAAACTGCTCTCGGATATAAGTGGGCTTAGACATATCTGGGGCGTACACCCCTAGCACAAACAACTTCTTTAAGCCCACTTTCATTCGTATCCACAGCAGCCTTGGGCTAACACATTCATACTCTTTCACACATTGACCCATTCTTTCTGAAAGGATGACACCGACTCCCTGGCATGCCCGCTCGGTCTCGTCTACTCCAGACCAGTAAGCGGTATATATGCCATGTGCAGTGACATCTCTTCCCTTTCGTTTCGTCTCGTTTACACATAACATATCTATTCCTCTATCATTCATCATTTCGCATACTTCATCCATCTTATCATTCATTGCTCCACATACATTCAGCGTAGCCAGACGGGCCTCCGCAATCCACTTTTCGCCCCTCCGGGAGACAGGACGTGACGGGTGGCGAACCTCGTCGCCGGTTTTTCTCCCGGAGATTCTTCGCACCCCTGCCCCATTAAAGGGGCGCCGGGAACTCGGGGCCATTTCTTTTTCTACTAGGCTCATGGTGCGAACTAAGGGGGTGGTAGATTTTACGCCGCTACCATATGGCGAGGAGCCGAGTCTGTCGTTTCGGCTTTGTCGCTCGTTTAGCACCACCCGGGGGACACGTGTAGGGTGGGCCTAGGATTAGGTGGTCGATGCCTACGGACGCGAGCGACTCATCCCCATGAATTTTATGTCTATTTATTTTATTAAATTATGATGTTTACTCACTTAACCAACCACAAAGTTTTTTAAATTAGTAAGTATTTTGTATCAATGAGAAAAAAAACTAGAGATAGGAATTTTAAAGTAATTTGGTCTGAAGTATCAGTTTTGGAAAAGGGGTCTTGTGCCCAAAATAGGTTGGGAATCCCTGCGTTAGATATTACTATACTAAATTTTAAACATATATTTGTTTTTAATTTTTCAGACATGTCGATTTCCTCACGATGTTTTTACTGACGGGCACGTGCACGACGGTGCCGGCAGGTATCAAACCTAAGTTTCTCGAGTAGGAATAGAATAGAATAGAATGATTTTTATTCAATATGGATTATTACATAATACTTATTGAAAGTCATTATTTTATTTACCACTGGTTCGGAAAATACCTCTGTCCTGGGAAGAACCAGCAAGAAACCCAGCGGGACTTTTTTTTAAACATAATTTCACTTAATAATAATTTTGTTTATACAATTTTAAATGAATTTTCATAGAACCAGCATGGTGGCGATCACCTTATTTATTCCCAGGGGTTATTTTCATTCATGTATTCCTTGATATTATAATAACCCTTTTTGTACAGTTTTTCTTTAATAAAACTTTTAAACTTGTTTATTGACAAACTTTGAACATGTTCTGGGATTCTGTTGTAAAAGCGTATACATTGCCCCATAAATGAATTACTAATTCTGTGGAGTCTTGTAAGTGGCATTACAAGCTTAAAAGGTATTGTGAGGTAAAAGGTATTTAGGTATTGTGAAATTTACAGTGAGCTTATTAGCTTATATTTTAACGCATTTTTTTGGTTTTTGAAAATACAAGAGAAAGGCGCATATTTTAATTTATTTTTTTAATAAGTTTAAAGAGTCTTACAATGTATCGTCATATAAAACTATTTGAATCTAAAGCGCAAGAAGCAAGAAGCGCTAATAATAATATACCTACATAAGTAGCTATTAATGCGAATATAATAGACGCAAGACATCACGCGATGTCCATTAGTCTATCGAATGATGTTTAAAAACGTGTGTACAACAAATGATAATATTGTATGAATTTTGTGATCGTCGATTTCTGAACAGAAGTCGAATGAAACTAGTTTACAGATTTTATCGCGTTCATTTAACTTGATTTATATTCCCGATGTTTCGAGTCTTTGCATTTTAAACGTGGTAGAGCCATGCTGCAGCTATATTATGATTGTAGCACGAATGGGTCGGCTCGACCGGAGAAGGACCACGCTCTCACAGAATACCAGCGTAAAATAGCAGCTTAACGCTGCTGTGTTTCGTATGGTGAGTGTAGAGAACGGGAGACCCTTTTTACTGGAAATGAGGCATTCCATCTAAGTCCTCACGGGTGACAACGCATCTGCATTTTGATTCGTAATCGAAGATAGATGTAGATGTCTATGGGCCGTAGCAACCACTTACCGTCAGGTGGACTGTGTGCTCGTTTGTCACCTTATCCTATAAAAAAAAATCACCCATGGTCATAGTCATGGCCTAATCCTTTAATGTATTTGATACATCTTTATATATAAAATTCTTCTGTCCGTGTGTATGTGACTGACCTCCTCCCAAATGGCTGGACCGTTTTTGATGAAATCTTGTGTGTGAGATTAAGTTGATTCGAGAATGGTTTAGATATTTTACGTGGTAGAGCCATGCTGCAGCTATATTAGGCCAGTAACCAGGCAGTCGGCGGGTCGAACCATAACTCACTTCTGAGTCCACAACAAGAGTGACAAAAGAGCACACAGTTTATATGATGGTAAGTGGTTGCCGTGGCCAATAGAGATCTACATCGATCCTCAATTACGAATCAAAATACAGATGGGTTTCATCCGTAAGGATTAAGATGGAATGCCTCATTTCGAGTAAAAGGGTTTCCGGTTCTCTACAAACACTTCGTTGTCGTCGATACACCGCACATTCGAAACGGATGGCCGTGCAAGGGAATAGAATAATTTTCCGGTTCTCCGGCGTCTGTGTTTCCGTCCGATTATAATCTGGGTGTCATCAAGGCAAGAGTAAATAGGCTTTACGCTAATGCATTTCGATTTACCATCTGGGGCTACATCACTACTTACTATCAGGTGGTCTTATAGGCAAGCACTGGCTTAAAATATAGTATGAAAATGTATGATATGGAGCCGTAGCTTTGGGGGTAGGAGGAACCTGCCAGAAAATTATATATTAACAGTTGACTTGTCACTTACTAAAAGTGATGATGATGGTCTATTAAAAGTATAATCTGTTTAAAAGTCCAGTTATAAGTATGTCCATCTAAACATAGCATCACCATACATATCACACATATGCAAACCATAACTAGAAGACTGATGATTACTTACATTTCCACTACTTCTTACTGCCGTCTTTGCATTATTAGTAGCCAATGGCAACAAAGTCTTGAACAGACTCATCGTAACAGCTCTTGTCTGAAACAAAAAAATAGGTTAAATCCATTCCCTCACAGAAGATCAGACAAAGAACTAGTGACCGAATAAGACCTAAGATTCTGCCAGTTCAAGCGGCAGTGTGAAGTTGCTTGCGGTGCTTTTATCATTGATCCATGAGCAAAAACGAAAACTTAAGTTTGTCCAAGCCAAAACTAGGTTAATTTTAACCTGGCAGCAGATTGAAACAGAGGTTGGCGACCTTGGGGTGGCCCAAGGACTACCTCAGTCACACCTCAACCTGCTGTAGCTGATATTACTATTCCCAACAAGTTCAAGTACATGTCTGTAATCTAGTTAGGTATGCTAGCTTACGAAAAACTACGAGGGTGTTTTTAAGTTCGCGGAAAGGAGAGTAAGGAGTGGAAATAAAAAACCAAATTTATTTTTCCTTTTCAATATATTCACCTGCTACCCTAATACATTTTTCGGATCTTTCAATTAACTTATGTATACCCTCAAAGAAAAATGATTTGTCTTTGTCTACAAAATACGCCGAAACTGCTTCCTTCACTTCCTCATCACTTAAAACCTTTTTCCCACGAAGTTCTTTTTTTTAAGTTTGGAAATAGATAATAATCACTGGGGGCCAGGTCAGGACTAGAGGATGCGTGTGGCAAAATTTCGAAGCCCACCTTCTGCAGGGCAGCCATCGCAACATGGCACTTGTGAACAGGCGCGTTGTCGTGCAGAAGACGGATTCCTTTGGTAAATTTTCCCCTTCTTTTCTCCTTTATAGCTTCCTTCAATTGTTCTAGGATTGAAGCGTAGTAATTTCCAGTTATGGAGACACATTTATCTTTATTATTAATCAATAGGATTCCTTCTGAGTCCCAATAGACTGTCGCCATGATTTTCCCACCCAATTGTGCCACCTTAATTTTCTTGGGTGGTGGTGTACCTTTTTTGGGCCACTGCATAGAGTCCTGTTTGGAGTCAGGTTCATAATGATGAACCCAAGTTTCGTCACCAGTAACGATTCGAACCAACACTACACCTTTATCTTCCATACAGAGGTCCAAAAATGCACGAGAACACTCCACGCGCTGTTGCTTTTGAGGCGGCGTGAGCATCCTAGGCGTGAGCATCTTGCGCTGACTTTAGTCATGCCAAGATGGTCATGAAGAATTTTAAAAATGGTTGTATCTGATACTCCAACCATTTCTGTGAGCTGTTTCTTCTTTAGGCGGGCATTATCTAATATTAATTTTTCGACTTTGAATAATTTCCGAAGTGGTCACCTCGATCGACCTTCCTGGCCGTGGGTCATCTTGACTCTGTACATACATACATATAATCCCGCCTCTTTCCCGTAGAGGTAGGCAGAGACCACTTCTTTCCACTTGCTACGATCCTTACATACTTGTTTCGCTTTGTCCACTTTCATTGTTCCCTTCATACATGCTCTACGGTTTAGGGTACTCTTGACCTGGCCATTTTTCAAGACATCTCTAGGTCTACCCCTCCCAACACTTTCATTCACACTCGCCTTATACACTTTTTTCGTCAATTGTTCTTCATTTATTATCTCGACATGGCCAAACTATCTCAGCATACCTTTCTCAATTTTTGTCACTACATCTTCTTACAGACCAACTACACCACCTTCAAGTGACTCTCTGCCTTGTTTAAAAAGAGTATGCTACTTGTAAACATAGTTTTACTTGGACAAGAGTGTCTGTAAACAGATGACATCTCTTCCAGTATAGTCTGAACTGATTTTCTAAGTTAAGGAAGTTTATAACGGCATGGAACTCGATTTTCTCCATATTTCACAATTTCTTCCCGATTGACTTGTTTGGTTGACGATAACTCAAGGACTAATGATCGAATTACAATAAAACCCGGTATTTATACTAATAATGAGTTGCTCAATTAGCACGTAATTCAGCGACATCCCCACTTGTTACCTACCTACCCATTCCAGGAACTTAAAAACGCCCCCTCGTAGTTAAGCCAAGAAAAACATGTTTTGAAATTGATTTGCAATAAATATTTTACACAGGTTTATTAACAAACACTTTTATTTTTATAAAATACTCCTGCTCAAAAGTGGTCTTAACTACTAGCTCTGGTCATAATTACTTTTAACCAATATATTACAGTAAAAATCTCTCATTACCAATATCTTCTCAGGCAAAACTACTTTTACCAAACTTTATTTAAAAGACCTACTGACACACAACATCTTAAATATTGATTGTTTTCCATTGCTAATTGGTTCATTTCTTTATTGCTTAACTAGCTGATACCAGCGACTTTGTCCCTGTTGCTTGATATATTAACAAAGTTTTTGTATGTGCGAAGGAAAAACATAAAAAAAAATCACAAGCAAAAATATACTTTGCTTACAAAATTTCTTTGTAGATGTTCAATGTTAATCCTTGCTCCATTTGTAGCTAATATATATAAATTATCTGGGTTAGCAACACAAGAGTAAGCCATGTACAGTTGACTGTGTGAAAAACCCCATATGAAAATTGTTATTTCTTAAAACTTTAATAACTTTATATTAAATGAAGATATCGCAAGAACTTTTTTCTTTTAGATAAGGGCCAACCAAGTGTCCTAATTGAAACCTATCTAGCAGTATTTTTGTGGTGCACGCAAACTGCAAACCTCTATCATTTTATTTACATAGAAGATAATTGAGTGGCCTTTCAATGAAGTAGACCAATTGTAAATTGAAATTTAATAGAGACACAAACAAACGCACAAATACAAAATGCTTTTTATAATGTCGGCTTAGTATGTCATGTTTGTTATTTCCCTTCAATGTCATTATAAGCGGCTCCCACTATATACACAATGAAAAATGGACTAATTTAATGCCCTAAAACACTATTACAATACTATATAACAATAATGAAACAACAGACAATTAATACAAGATGCTAGAAAACTAGTTTTAAATGCTTTGCTGCAATTTTCAGTACAAATCTATCAAGTACACCATGTTTTAAATTTAATTTATGTAGGTAGGTATGCTTAGTTGATTAATTAATTTTTTTAGAAAAATAATATTAAAATTAAGTTATGTACTTCCCTAACTTTATTAATAATAAATAATAATATATAATATACAAGAAATTAAAGGCAAAATTACATATTAAAATGTTGATACAAATAATTTAATGATTTACATTCAGAAATATTGGTACTTCAAAATTGAATACTTTTATAACACAAGAGAAGGTAATTTAATAACTATTCTAACTGAAAACATCACAATAATAATTGTACTATGTATCATTTTACAAATTATTGTGTTTTGGGACAAATTTATCTATTACTAAAACAAATATTATATTTATAGACAAGACAAACACAAGGTTCCATAAATGTTCTATATGTTAAAAGCGAATACCTACACGGACGAGCATTAGAATAGGATGTAGCAATTTGTCTATTCATGCCAAGTAGCGCCAGAAATAGTGCGATAAACACTCACTTCGGTATCCAAATAAGTTTAAAATAAAGCCATAAATATACAATATAAGAAATAATACTATTATTGAGTTTGTGATTGACACGGGAGGGATTGTAATAAATGTAACTTGTAATAAACTAAATTATTGAAAATCGGAAATTAGATGATAAAATAAAACTTACTCCGATAGATATAAACACAAATCGAGCTTAGAGATTCTTCTTTTGTAAGATATCTGTAGTTCTCTATTCATAAAACAACATTTTCTAAAGGAAAAATAGTAACGGCACTGCGGCAAACTTTGTTTTTCACGATTAAAAATGTACCTATTTAAAATATTTATGTAATAAAATAATAATGTGGTTTTAAAAAATGAGTTGAACACTAAACACTAAACGAAAACAACACTAACTAATTTAAATTTACTACGCACTACAAACCAAGAAATATACTATGTAACTATGTATGTACTATCCAAAGAGTATAGTAACTGTCCTATACAATCTAATATCTAACTCTTTCCTATATAAAAAATTACTCTGTGATCTAACTCTAAGCTCTAACTAGCGATGCGCGTTGATTCAACGAACTAGTTTCCTGTGTAGGACAGTTACTATACTCTTTGGCACAGAATACTTTACTCCTAGCGGATTTTAGGTTCGGAAGGGCTAGATCCCAGAGCCATAAAACCAGTTATTAAGAAGAAGGTACTCCTAGCCACAAATTATAAAGTTGTACTCCTAGCGGATCTTTGGAACTAATTGAATCAACAGTAACTGTTGACAGAAGATCAGCTGTTGATCTCCTGTCAACGAATTAATTTTAACCGCTTATGAAACAACTAGTTGAATTCATCAACGACATTATTTATGAATTTACCTCGTGCGTCTTGTTAACGCAACGAACTGAACAAATTAAAAAACTTACGTAGAACATAACGTCATAGATTGCGAGCGATGGTCATGTCATACAAATTGAACTCTAAGGAACCTACAGTTTATTTTCGAAATATTTATTTTAAGAATAGTACTTATGACGACATTGGTGGAATAGCGCGCCCCGCTCGTCCCATCCGAAAGAAATAGGTTAATTCTACTTTGTTTGTTTACGTTTACGAACGATATGAAGTTTGTTTTCTTTAATTTTTGATTGACAGTTTGTGACAAGTTGCGCGTAAATATTTGGTGTTTAGAATTTTAGTTAATGTTATAGTAACAGTGTAAATTTGTTTGTGTTAATATAATTGTGTATATTTGAATAAAATAGGACTACTCAAGGTACAAAATTAATAATGTCGGTACGTAGGGCGTAACATTGAATTGTGACTGTATTTCGAAAAAATAAAAAATCCAAAACAATATTAAAAAAAAAACTATAAAAAGACTTTGCAAATAATTGATTTGCGCACATAGAATAAGATGATCTTTTAAATACGCCTGAGTAGAATATGGTATATAGCTAATTGTGTTCAATCAGTTCTAAACCTAAAGAAAAAGTTTAAAGGGAAGATCATCTAAGTAGAACCATTAATCAAACATTTTCTAATACATACATTGAATTAAATTGTTTTTAAAATTAAACGTCGTAGCGTTTAATTAAAACCGTCCAACGAATTAACGGTTTACGTTGCAAGTTGACACTAGTAGTACGTTAACTCGTTGACGAATTCAACTAGTTGACAAACGTAAATCAACGGTAACGTTTCGTTAACGGAAAAACCGTCAACGACTCATCGCTGGCTCTAACTCTAACGGCATAAGATGATATTATTATAGTACCTAGGGATATTCGATATACATCGATGCATCGAATTGATCTGATGTTTTGGAAAGTTATTGACATACATACTCGATGTATCGATGTATTTTCATAAAACATCGAACCCTTATAAAATCATTGTTGACCATCCAATGGTAAAAAGGTATACTTACCTATCACTATTATTATTATAACTTCTAAATCAGAAAAACTAAAACATGCTCTGATTTAGAAGTTATAACATTAAACCTGTTGGGGGCGCTAGTTGGCAGTTATCAGTCCCTTAAGCGGAATGAAGAATTTGAGATTGGCTGGTTGGCAAAACTGCGCTAAAGAGAATTAAAAAAAATATCTGGTTTGTCTCGGTCAGAGATCATTTTAACCCAATAGACTTGCTTAGCATGATTATTCTCCTCTGCCTCTGGATTTAAAAATCTTGTGCGTTTATAAAATCTGTTTACGGAATCGATTTTATCATTACAGGAATCGTTTCCGCTGAAGTAAGTGTTCTTTGAAAAATGCCGATCTATGTGGTTAACGTGTGCATAAAGGAATCAAAAACTTAAAATTTACAAAAAGATGGAGTTATATTCCATATTTAAGTATTTTTCTTGTGATACATGCTTTTTGTCATTAGGTAATCAAGTACATAATATGTCATAAAATCGTAGTGATAATCGCAATGTAACAACCACACTACCCACGAGATTATTTGTTTTTTAACAATTTCACTCTTCGTATGCTACAAATTAGGTTTAAATTTGAACACGCAAGTACAAACGCAATCCTTAAGAGATTATTTTATTTTTATAGAAGTTCCAACAAATAATGCAGAAAGCTAAGATCGAAATTCAAATAAACGAACAACATGACAGCTAAATAAGTGTAACGAGAATATTTTTTAACCCTGCAACACCTTATAAAAAGAAGTGATTACGTCACGTGGATTTCATATGCAGTCCAATCTAAAATACGAAGAAAGCTGTAAAATATCAACTTTACCTAATAAATATTCTATCTAAAATAAAACAAGTAACATTTATTCAACGGTTAATCATATTAAATAATCAAAAACATTTATACATTCTTTTTTAATTTAAATAATAATAATTAAAAAAAACTTTAACATATCAATATATGAAAATGGCACATTAATTTCAAAGTGAGATCACAAATCACTTTACATATTGAAATTTGTTTACGTATTTATTTCTAATGTAACAATTTGTTTCCAAACAAGAGAAACATATGCACTTGTAATAATCCGGACAAACGAATTTGCATGTAATTTTTATTGCAAAAGTGTTAATTTTAATTGTGTTGATTAGTTCTTAAGATACTTTGTGTTTCGTGCAATAAAGAATATCTATATATCTAACATCCTTAAACACACACACTCACAAAGACAGTGCCGATGTAAGAGTAGTAGATCATTCAAAATTGTCGTTTGAATGGGGTGTCAGGAAGTTGACTACAGATTTGTAATCAACTTCCTGACACCCCAAAAAGTACTCGATTTTGAAAAAACATCGATGTTTCTAACCGATGCATCGGAATATATCGATGCACAGTCTCGATGCATTACATTGAAAAAAAAAATATCGACGTATTTCCAAAGTGGACACCCCTGTTAGTAGCAAACTCAAGGTTCACTTCTGCTGTCAGCGCCAAAATGGCGAAAATCAAATCGCTTCATTGTGTACCCCCTACCCAGCCTACGAATTTTGAGTACATATATAAAAAAAATACTGACAGACGTAGTTTAAATAGCACACCTCAAAAGTATTTATTATTTAAACTGAACCCATGTATTTTAGAAATAAAAAATAGATAAAGATCGCTAACCTTATAACGTCGATATTTCTTCAAATAATTAGTATTGGGTACTTTTTGCTTTATAAATAAAAATTGCACTTTGCTTGAATATAATTGCATAATCCTTAAAAATGCATAAATGCAATATTAAGTGCAAAAAGTTAGTAAAAAGACAAGTGTTGAATGCACACGGGGCATCATAGATAAGTATATATGTAGCAAGCTACGGGGCATTGGCGCAGTTACGGCGTAGAAACATATATTACAGGATTTTATCTTCCGAGGGTTTTTTTATTGTACTTACTTACTTACTTATCTTCACGCACAATCCCTGACGGGGTAGCCAGAGAGAACAGATCGCCAAGTGTCACGATCCTTACAAACCTCTTTCGCTTCTTTCAGATTCATTTTTATTGTACTCATCCTTTATATACCAACCAACAAGTAATGATAAACACAACAAAAATGTATATAATGACAAACAGAAGACGGCAAAAATATTAACGAAGCTCGATACAAAAATATATCAGAAAATTGATGAAACACGTGTGACTACCAATCACTCTGACAGCAGCTTCTCAAAAATTTATCGCCCGTTTGCCTCATATTTTATTTATATCTGCTTGACATTGACAAATTAACGACAGAAGCACAGACTACTTTTTTATATAGGAAAGAAAGATTTTTACGTATTGAAGGGAAACCAGAGTATCACAGAGTATTATATAGGAAAGAAGTTTTGGCAGGAGCTGGCGACGGATTCTTGCTTCTGTATTATTGTTTAAATAATGGTTGAAGTGGATTTTGATATATAAAAGTGGTGTAATTTTGTGCATGTTTGCACATGTGAACTATTAGTGAAAACGGTGAAACAAGTGCTATGGTGGTGATGTGATTCTCAAGATAATGTGTCTGTCTGCTTAGGCGCCTTGAGATACCATCGCCAACTGTCAACTGTCTGCTGGCACAAGTTGCCGTCAAAATCTCTTAAGGGCTGCACAATGTGACGCATCAACATATTGTGAAGCAGTGTACTATGAAGGATAATTATCACAATAATTATACATTGTGTCTACAGGCTTAGAAGGGCTAGAACCCAGAGCTGTAAAGCCAGTTATTAAAAAAAATAAAGACAGTGATCAGCGCAACCAAAGCGCAGCGATGGGTCGTTGACGGTTTTTCTGTTAACGAAACGTTAACGTTGATTTACGTTTGTCAACTTGCAACGTAAACCGTTAATTCGTTGGACGGTTTTTTAAATTTTGTACCTTGAGTAGTCCTATTTTACTCAAATATACACAATTATATTAACACAAACAAATTTAAACTGTTACTATAAACATAAACTAAAAAGTCTAAACTCTAAACATTTACGCGCAACTGGTCACAAAGTGTCAATCAAAAATCAAAGAAAGCAAACTTCATATCGTTCGTAAACTTTAACAAACAAACTAGAACTAACCTATTTCTCTCGGACGGCACGAGCGGGGTGCGCCATTCCACCAATATCGTAATAAGTACTATTCTTAAAATAAATATTTCGAAAATAAACTCTTTTGTAGGTTTTAATTTGAGTTTAAATTGTATGACATGACCATTGCTCGTAATCTATGACGTTATTTTCAACGTAAGTTTTTAATTTTTTTCAGTTCGTTGCGTTAACGAGTCGCACTAGTTAAATTCATAAACGTAATTGACGAATTCAACTAGTTAACGTTAATACGTTGACAGGAGATCAACGGTTGATTTAACTAGTTCGTTGATTCAAGTTCAATGCTCATCGCTAGATTAGCTTGCTACATATTTATTTATCTATGCGCTAGATCAGCGACAACT